AAGAGTGACTTGATGAACTGGGACGGGACCCCTGGGTTAGACGGATCACACTACACCTTCAACCAAACCTCCCCACATCGCCCCTTTCTCTCCGTATAGGATACATTCCTGTCTGCTTCCCTCTCATAGCAATGCAGTAGAGCGAGTAGTTCAGTACACTGTCAACTCTGCCAACTGTTAATTATCAGTGTTGCCCATGAACTGGTTATTGTGCCTTGGAGTTGAAAACTGTGTGTAATAGACATGATGCTGTTGTTCCCTTTTCACCCTACTATATTTCAGTTACTACTGCTACTACTCATACTGGTTTTATCAGCATAGTTTTTTTTTTCCCTTGAATTAAAAGCTAGGTGGGTGATGGAAAATTTGAAACCATTAGAGAACGAAGAGCTTAAAAGTTTGTGAACCCCAGTCTACGCCCTCCGTCTGTTACTTGCAGCGGTAATTGTTGAAGACCGCGACGCACCCTCGCAGAGACTAAGTTCCAAACGGGGGGGGGTACCCCTTCCCCTCCAAAGGGGGGAACCCCCTCCTCCCCTCCAAAGGTGGGAGGTGGTCCTCGCAGAGCCTAATTCCCTAGGGGGGAGGGGGGAGGGATGAGGGGGATAAATTGACTTCACGAAGCTCCGTTGGGGGGAGGGGGGTGCACGATGTCAATAGCAACCTGTAAATGTCTAAATAAAATAAATACCACTTAAACATCTATACAAATTGTAATTATATGAAAGACGAGCCTAAATTTACATTACGGCAACAATAGAAAGGTCGTATAATAAACAATAAGAGCCAAACTTTGTCAGACGGACGCCGAATGAAACCGCTAAATTAAACAAGCGCAAAACGTTATGCGGACGAACTCGATATATGATACACAATATTTTTTTATTATAACACATTCGTAATCATACAAACCTGAATACCGAAACATAACAATAACCAACGAACTTGTGTCAAACCGTTAATAATTTTAAATAATGCGGATATTGTAAAATTATAATTAAACACATTGTAACACGCATTTTATTAATATTTGTGATATATATTCCGTGCAATATACATGTGCAATTTGCCGGTTCTCGTTTAAAACAAATTAAAACGTACTAACCTCCTGTTGTCACGCCTCAGTTATGAGACTTCCCCGCCGGGTAAATTATAAGCAAGACACCCGCCCCAATTTCGTTTTTGTCGCCTACACATTTCAATCTTCAGGGGCACGTAGGAGACACACCCACGGGAGAAATAGTTTAATAGAATTTTAAAATTCAGGAATAAAATCGAAATCCGAACGAAACTCCGGCGCCGCTGCAACATGCGCCGCGCCGGTGTCCGTGTTGCCGATATCTCCCTGGGGGGATTTCGCCGGAGTTTTCTGAAATCTCGCAGACATCGAGATTTGCAGAAAGGCAACCTTTGATTTTGAATTAAAGCACGGCCAGTGAGGTCCCCACAAAATATTTAATTCCCCGGCATGTACGAACATTATTAAATAATTCAAATACACTTTCCGCGGCTGCCTTAATTAGGATTGCCCAAAATAATTTACCACACCCCTTATTAGCACGATGTCTAATTATAACCAAATCACATTATCAATACATTTAACACACCGTCAGTGCGGAGGGTACAGGCGAACTGCGGCAAGGAGGAACTGATGAAATCTTTTGTTCTCCGCCGGGTACTTCATTTGAAAAATGGCCTTAGCCAAGTACCCGGCAAAGTGGTGTCCTCCTGCCGAAGCGGGGCACTTTGATCTTCGCTTCCCTCCATTTCCGCTCGATCGTGTTTGTGTGCGCTTTACTTTTGGGGTCAACAAAATTATATGAATGATTCACAGTTAAATGTTGATAGCCCTCTTTTCTAAACAGTTGTATGCCTTCCAACAATCACTAATGACCGTTGTCCCTGGCTGGATACGCTCTTTAATTACTTTAAGCAAAGTGAGAGAGTCACGCGTCTCCACGGCAACGAGGAAAAAATCCCTACTCTTGCGGCATACTCCTCCAAAAACCCACTGACCTTCTATGACACGACCTACGTTATACTTGCGTTTACCAAATTTTGATTCATCAATCTCGACAATTTCCCCTGACCCACCAATTTTGTCGGATTGATTTTCAAAACACCAGAAAATTAAAACCTCCCGGCAGAAGCTCGCCCAATCGCAAATAGTCCGGTTTGGGAAATTAAACTCGCTCCGTGCAGATGCGTAATAAAACCTCTCTCTCAAATACAAATTTACAAATTTTTAATTAGTTTCAAAATCGAGCTTACTATTATCAAACCAGGTGTTCTTAAAAAGTGATTTTTTGAAATTGCATCTAACTTTCCGATTATTTTTTTGGGGGTCTTGTCGCACCTTCATGAATTTACATTATCATCGCGACGGCATTCGCCGTCGCATTTTGGGCATTTCATGGCCTCCAAAATGAGGCCATGTGTACGGCAAAGATCGAGCAAGAGGGAAGGCTGGGTGCCGTACTTTTCCCAGAAGTGCCCATACCTCTCATGATATAATAATTAAAAAAAATTGATCCATTATGATATAAGCAAAAAATAATTTATATTTGAAAATACATAAACATTTAATAATATAAATAATAAACATTTAAACTTACCCCATGTCACACTCTGCACAAAAATCACTAGTACTAGCCATGACGGTGGCTTACAGGCAAGTGACTACGTAATAAGATTGGGTATTGTTCCAATTGGGAGGCAATTGATGTAACAAGGCAGTAGCATTGTTAGATTGTCAACAATCAATCAAGGTTATGATAAAGATTATAGTAATGGTAAATTAACCACATTACACACAATACAACATATAATGTATAAGCCTAAATTGATTTGAGAAAATGTCATTATAAATAACATAAAATAATGTATAAAAATAATTAGTAATCGGCAATGATTCCAGGTTGGTTGAAAGTGGTGCACCGAAAACGTGACCTTCATAGAAAACGCAATTATAGAAAATGGAATAACAGAAAATGAGACATATAGAAAACGAGCTTATAGAAAATGTAAACATAAACAAAGAACTCTGCCTGTGGAAGGCTGTTTTGGACTTGGGCTCTGCGCTCTGCGTTTAACGGTAAATATAAGGCCTGTGCATCTTAAGATTACTTCTGTCCTACTCTATTTCTTCCGCTCTATAAGATGGCGGTGTCCATTTTCCTCTATCTACGCGCGTCGCGGTCTTCAACCTCTACCGGATCATTAACCCTTGAGAAACAAAGCCATCTGCAAATATTTCAGTTGATAAACCTCGGTTTCTGGAAGCGGAAATGGAAAAATAATACTGACAGATTACACTTCATTTTCAATTAAGATAAACACGCTATATAACTGAATAAACCTTTTCTTTCACGTTGCCTCAGTAAACTAGTTTTTAAAATTAAATGTGCTCCTCAAGTTAAAGGGAATACCTTTTTTAAAAATGGAGATTATCTTTCTCGTTTGGGCAGACTCGCAGCGGGCAAAGTTCTTTCCCAGTTCTCCGAAGAAAAGGCCTGCTGCTTGTGAAGTGAGAAAAAGTTGTGCTGCTTTGTTTTGCTATTTTCATATATTTTTACCTGGCCTCGCAGTAAGGACGAAATTCAAACTACATTCTCTACAAACCGATAAAAAACGAAATCCTCGCCCGGGCAGTTAGTTAAGTAAGTTTATTTACCACCCTGGCTAACTGCTCAGGCGTCGGGAATCGCTTGCGTATAACATGAGATGGTATCCATACAAATTGAATGTAGTAATTGCGCTCTCTTGCATAAGTTACGTTACGCTTAATGCAGTTCACGATTTCATCACCATCTGTTTTGAAGGAACTTCGTGTCCGAAGAGCGCTTTCAGAATCACAAAAAAACTACTCCAAAGCCCCGATACATTAAGTATTCTGCTGCAAGGAGTATCCTAACCTAACCTAACCTTCCAACTCCGTTTGAGTAGGGCTGGTCCAATTTTGTACTCTCATATGAACTTGATGTTGCAATAAACCATTGTTGTATACAGCGCAAGCACAACCAGCTTTGTAACCAGACTGTACAGATTCGTCAGCGTAACACTCGTACACATCGTCCATAGATTCTGTGTTCCTTTACCGTCGCCAAAGCAATTTGTTTCAACACGCGGTTCGGTACACTGTTTTTTTTGCGGTAGACATATAAAGTGCACAATCAGTGATGAGTTTTTCCATGGTGGAATAGATCGACCTTTTGGTATTTTACTTATGGGGACGTTAAGCTTGGTAATGTTCATGCAGACACACGAGCTGATTAGCCTCGTCTGCTTGCGTGATTTTATGCTGCAGCTGTTTTTGGAAATATGTGAGATACAAGGGTTCCCTCAGAGCTTTGACCCCAGAGTGCAAATATATATTATTCTATCAAAAATGGATGGTGTTTAGTTCTGATCTCATGTTCACTATCCTTGCTGTTCTCGGGGCGCCGAGGATAATGTGAATGAAACGTGGCGCTTGCTCCGTGGAGTTGCACACGCCACCTGGCCCACATTTTTACATTTATTGCACTTTCTATAAGTTAGTCCCGCATATTGTTTCCTTCTATGTATGGAATCAGAAAACCTTACTTCCCACCTTTTGGCAAAAATCTTATGGGTGAACAATAATTATATTCTCTCTTGAATCAATCGCAGGCGATGGTGAACAATAGATTTACGCAATATACAACCTTAAAAGATCGAAAATGTGAGATTCGACGGTTACGAGAAAAGATGAGTCACACCATGACTGAATCCTATGACATGTGTCCTTGGGACAACGAGTGCGTCTCCGAGGGGCGGCGGCGAGGCGACAGGAAGAGCCGGCGGCGGGGACCCAGTCGGTCACGCCGTCGGTTGTCAGAGCAGACGCAAAAAAAAAAAAAAAAAAAAAAAAAAAAAAAAAAAAAAAAAAAAAAAAAAAAAAAATCGCGCGCGCATATACACGCACGCACACAAACACTCCTACTGCAGTCAGTCGGAGCCGCGCCGCCGGGAGGGCGCTCTCTTCTCGAAGGCGCTCTTGGCATTGTATCAGCGGCTCAGATTGGAACCAGCATCAATGTCCTCCCTTAGAACTGACAGACAGGCCATTGCCGCGAATACACCGCAGCTCCTCAATGCGTCTGAACTACGAACGAACATCACTCGGCCGGGATGCAAGTTCCCACGACCGGAGGCGCCCGTCGCTGGATTTCCCGCACTATTCCTATAGCCTGAACATGGATTTCCCGCGGCCGCTCGGCCTCGCTCGCTCTCAGACGAGCTGAGGACTTGACGAGGACCAGAACAGTTGTGGAGGAAAAGTAATTTCCGAGGGGTAAAGGCAAGGCTAGAGAGGACGGCAGACCTTTGGCCTGTTACGACGACATGCAGATAAGTGGTCCACTTGATCTTGCCACCGATAAGGCAAAGAGACACTATTTCTATAGCCTGGATAATGTTTAATGCAAACTTTTCCTCTGAATATAATGCTTAAAAACATTATCCGGACTCAGGCACATCCTCGACGGTGAGTCCACCTCCAAACAAAGCCAATGGAAGCCAGCGCCTGCCAATGATCCTTCTCACCTGCCGAAGCTTTAGTCATTCCTCTGGCAGTCGCTCGCAACCGCCTCGGCCTTCAGCACACCAACGCCGCCGCGGCCGCAGGACGCCACAGTAGCGCCTGCCGCCGCTATGACAGGATCTTCGCCGCTCCTCCTCGGCCTGCTCTGCCTTGCCGTGGCCCAGCGCGCCGCCGCGGCCCGGTTGGATGGTACCTCGACGTCGTCAGGCCCGGGCACAGCGGCGGAGCTGATGGAGGAGATTCGCGCCCGCATGAGCACCCAGTGGGACACCCTGCAGCACATCCGCTACCAGGCGCTGACGAGCAAGATGACGGTGGGCCGTCTGAGCGAGCGCGTCAAGCAGCTGGTCGCCGCCATTGCCTCCCGAGGTGAGCCTCCGCCGCCGCGAACCGCAAAGGCGACGGACCTACCTGTAGATCTGCAGAAGCCAAGGCGTTGAGGCTTCTTGTTCATGTCGTCAGTATTATCTTTCGTTCTCATTAGTATCATCATTTGCATCATTTACTATTTTTGTAACCATTATCATCTTTGATGTTACAGCGGTGTTGCTATTGTAGAGCGTGTCTCAGTAATTTTCAAAAATCACTGGTCACTTCCGTTGCGTGTCGGTGGGAGGAAGAAGTGGCGTTGCTGCAGTATTTTTACTTCACAGTGTTTTTATTTACTTCGGTTTATGTGCATTCATAGTATCTGATTTTATATTTTTCTTACCTGTACTTCGCCGTGTTGGCGACGCATGGGGTCAAGGCTAGAGATAAGGAAGCGATACCAGCGCTATCGCCCCGAGCACTCCGATGGCACACGGTGCTGTTCCCGCTGGTTTTGCGCAACTCGGCGGCTATTCTGCCTCTCGTCTTTCAGTGTAGTTCGAATCTAGTTCATTCAGATTCTGTTGGCTGTTTCCAGTTCTATTGGCTGTGAGCAGATAAGAAAAGCGATTTCCGTCGTCCGTGCAGTTGCGGGCCACACCTGTGCCGGCGGTCGTGCACGCCGTAGTTCACACGTGTTGATTCGCGGGGACGAATGGAAGGACACCTGGGTCTCAGCTGAGCACCAAGGCGGCCGAGAGAGCAACTGATTTCAAGTTGTTTTTTCTTTGGTGCAATTAATTGTGTAAAGCATCCAGCTATTTTGCACTTCCCATACTGTAATGATTAGTTGGCCTATGTAAAAAAAAAAAAAAAAAAAAAAAAAACGAAATGAAACATTGTGCAGTATATTTAGCATCTGCTACCGCCCTCAGAAGTGCCACCATCGGGGCGGTCCTCGACGCCTGACGAGCCGTGCGACGAAGACAAGGGCGAGGAGGACGGCATACCGGCCTTGGCGGATGCTCTGGAGGAGCTCCTTCAGGCGTACACCAACTACGTAAACACGAGTACGGAAGGGGGGGACCCACGGAGCGTCCAAGAGGATTTGGCGAAGATTAAGGACGTGCTGGGGCAGCTGAGAGCTCTGGTCGGCCAGGCGTCGACCAGGACATCTCGTAGCGTAGGTTTGTTAAGAGTGGTTTTGTCTGCCAGAACGAGGTCTGTGGTGGCAAGAGCAACCGATAACGACAGAGAATATAGGTTACCAAAGTAAACTGAACAAAGAGCATCCAAATCAAGAAAAGATCGTGACCTCCCCGACTCCTGCAGAAACAACCCCTGCGGAAGCCGAGCCAGTGGCGCGGCGCCGGGAGGTGCGGGCGGGCGACACGGCCGTGCTCCCGTGCCCCGTCGGCGCCGCCGGCCAGCCGGTGGGTGTCGCGCCGCTCACTGCGTGCGCTGCTGTCCACGCGGGCGGTTTGACTGTTTTAATTTGCTGTCATATTTGTCAAGATAAATAATAGATAAATAAATAAATAAATAAATAATTATATGTTATATATTATGTATATGAATACATACACACACACACATATATGTGTGTGTGTGTGTGTGTGTGTGTGTGT